GTGTCACAGTCACCGTACCAGCTGGGTTGGACCCAGGGGGAACAGCCCAGTAGCCAGGCTGTTGGATGGTTACCCCAGGCTGTGAGTGTAATGAAGTTAAAAAATAGAAATCAGTGTCAATGTCAGGTATTTGATTCATAAATGGCACAACATGAACAGGCCTCAAAGTTATGTGCTCGACTTAGGTAATTAAAACCTTTTAAATTTTACATCCACTTTAAAATCAATAGCTCACTGCAATCTGATTGGCCCTCAGCAGTGCAATTCATTCACGAAGTGCACATGGTTTGCTCAAAATTGTATGTTCTGGCAGGTGATGAGAAGGAAACATTAAAACAAAACCACCCATTAGATTTCAAAGGTTGTTTAAAGTAACCAATCAAATCGCTGGAAAATGAAAGACAAAGAAGCCGTTGCGTGGAAAATTTTGCAGAGTGCTGGATTTACAAAAATATTTGACTGTATTGACTAATGAGCCCTGTATTTAGGTAATTAAATTGTGCACTTTCCAAATGTATGAAAAAATGTAGTTCAATTTCCGTTACTACCAGCTGGTGCATAAAAACTATACAGACAGACTTTCCATGAAGTATTCTACATGAACAGGACAAATCTATTTGGTTTAGGCTTAAATAAGCACTACCATGTGATGGACTGGCATCCCATCCTGGGAGGAGTAGCATTAACTTGTTTTTGATAGACTATAAACTTGTTTTAGTTTTGTTATTGTTAGAAGAACAAAGAAAGAAAGAAAGAAACAGATGTGAACAGAAGCAGACAAAAGTAAACAAGAACTGATAAAAATTAACAAATGAACAAACAAAAATACACAATTACAAAACAAAATCAAGTCAGTTTAAAAAAAAAACAAACAGAATTTTTCCTTTGTCCCACACTCATGACAAGACAAAAAAAAAACATCTTTCTTTTTCTTACCCAGCCCAAAACTTACCATCTTTCTCATTTTATATACATTTTAGGCAATTTTAGCTTAATGAGTTTGGACACTGCAAACTTGAAAGTGACTCTGCCACAAGACAAACAATAAAACTTCAATACAAGTGCATTCACCCTTATTTGAGACCACAATCTTTTTTTCAAAGTATAACTCACATGAACTTGCTGTTGAACGTAAACTTGAGGCTGGGCTACTGCTGGGTAAGCTGGTGTTGTAGTTGTAACTCCACCGGTTGGCTGAATGATAACCATACCTCCCTGTGGTCCTGTAAATGCAGGCCGCCCAGGCTGAATGTATGTCACTTGTTGATTGGTTACCATCTAACAACCAGAAGTAAAAATAAACTCTTTCAGTCCCAAAACTTCTCCTCATAATACCAATCTCTCAATCAATACAGCCATCATTGAATTTAAAAACATTCATTCATTGAGTTTAGTCTGGCAGTATAGAAAAATATTTTGGTGTTAGTCCTGAAGTGTGGACCCTGCTGACTATTTAGTAATAACTGAAAAGAAACCATCCTGCTTATTTTCAAGTTAAGCTGTAACTGAAAGCCAAAACAGAGGTTTTTCAACATAGTTGCTGAGTACTATGCTAAGTGCAGAGAGTAAAAAATAAATTATGAGAGATACGTAAGCTGGAACTCCAATGATAGACATCTTCATGCTCTTTTAAGCTGTGGTTGATATAAGCTAGGTCACTGAGTTGTGTTCTGGGACATGACACTCCTCTGACATGGTCTATCGCCTGTACCAAGGAGTATAAATGGGTACTAGTTGCTCCATGCATTTATGCCTCTGACACAAGTACTGGTTGAATGATCATCTAACTTTCTGTGCCTTCTTAACCCTCTCAATCCCAGATCTTATTAGAAATTCTCCTTACTGTTTGTCATACAATTCTCATGATGTTACTTTTCAAAATTTGGTATTGGATCAAAAATAATCCCTTATTGATCCTTTTTTCCTTTATCTCATCACTTGTCTGCTTGAAACTACATTTATATTGTAAGGAGAAATTCTACCTTGGTCACTCATGGGAGTTAAAGAGTTCATGGTCAAACTGTGGTACATGTATATCTAGCAAAAGATTCTACCATGCAAATTCATGAATACAAAGAGTCTACTGATAATACGAACCACTCCTCCTGGGGTGTTGCAACAAACAGCACCACAGCAGTACATTGATGCAGTAAGAGACAACATAAACTGAACGACGGCGCATATTAGAAGGCAGGAGCCTAACCCAGTTCCAACAGCAGCCATATGCCTCTTACTTGCAGAGTAACAATAGACTTTGAAGTAACTGTAATGGTAACTCTTGCAGCTACTTATATGAGAATAGTCAACCAGAGCAATACAGTAGGTGATGAACATGAACACAGTTAGAACACAAACTGTGATGGCAAATCCCATGTAAGTGCCAATCTGCACAAAATGGCCAAAAAAAAAACCAAGGTTACATTAATTCAAGAAACTCAATATCTACTGTTGTCAAGATATTAATAAATAAGTAAATAATAATGATAATACTAATAATAAAGTAATATCATTCACAAGTCTAAATGTATTTATAAAATAATTAAATAATAATGAATTCAAACAAGTTGGAAATAAACATTATGATAATTATTAATTACTGATAAACACAAACATATATGTAGCACTGGTTAATTACACCAGGTCTAAACCAAACCACAGTTTTACCCAAAAAAGTGGGCCTCAGGCTTTCTCCTAAAGAGAGTTGATTCAATTAGTAACCCTAATAAACTCCCAAGATCTGATTGTTAATTTTCCCCTGTAGCTGCTACACATTTCCTTGTAAATTAGTTATGAGAAATTGGTGCTAGATCAAGATGGCAGCTTCTACCTGATAAGTTTGAATATTCTCATTACCTGTTTGCTGAATAATGTATGGATATTGTAGGAAGAAGTTTTATGTTAATCACTTCTGGGAGTTAAAAGTTTAAATAAATGTCCTTCCACTGTTTGCTTTCCAACCAAACTGAGGATTGTTTCGGATGCAGTTTGCTCAGACAACAGCTGTTTGAATTAACGCTTAAAGTAGTTAAGAACCTCAACTGGCAGGAGGCAGACCAGTTGGATATAACTTATACAAATTGCAGCCAAGGAACCACAAAAAAATTGAAAACAAATCTTGTGTGTAACAAGGCAAACCCCAGGATCACCAGATTACAAGACCAGCACCCAAACCACTCATCTTCTTCTACTTCCCAGTGTGTTCTGCTATTTGATTTCTCTAATAATTATCCTAGAATTATTTTTTGGTCACAGTCTGTATGCTAGTAATGATCTGCTAGATGAGTACATTGCTTCATCAATATTTAAACCATTTGCATTATCAAGAATTCTAGATTTACAAGCACAGGGGTGTATGCAGCTTTAAACTCACCAAACACCTGTTAGGAGTTGAATCATCTTTTGCACCAATGTATCCAAAGATTCCTGTGAGAAGAACCTGCAAAAGAAAGGATAAAAATTTGACTATACTGATAAATTAAAAGTATTTCATAATTATTCTCTACACACACACACACACACACAAAATCAAAACATGTATAGTAACCATCATAAAGAAGAAGAACCCCCATTTTTTTTAACAGCGGTGAATTCATGTGCTTTTCAAGTTTGCTTTTATTCAGGAGGATGTAGCAAAGTGTATGGATGTGATGAGTAATTTATTATCAGCTAAGTCCAACTCGGTTAACAGACTTGAACTAATATTACCTTTTACTTGGCTTAAATTTACTCTGAACTTTAAGTAAAAACGTTGATTGATAAACTTTTAAGTGTTGGTCATAACTAACACTAAACTTCTCAGACTGTGCATATACAAAAGTCATTTATGTGAACTTCAGTTAAAGAAATTAATATGAAGGTGATCTTCACAGTAATGAACACTACTTAAGCAGTTGGAAAGATTAAGGACTTAAAAAAAATTAATTCAAACTAATTTTCATTTCCCTTGGAAGTTTCAGTTATCAGGGTTCTACTGTTGTCAGAGAGCCTGTATAAATCCATCTTTGAGGTTTAATACTGAAGTTATTCTTCACCTACATTGTTTTATAATTTACAGTAATTACCTTCCATGATACTACCATTAAGAAAACCATGAAATTTTTGGCTTTTGTGAAATTCAATCTTGTAGAGAAGCCATGTAGCATCTGCCAATTTGCAGATTACAGTAATTTTCAAAACTTTTACTATTTCAAAATTCCCATGACTGACTAAGTAGGGCAGAATATCAAGCAGACAAGTGATGAGAATAGAAAAAAATATCAATTAGGGGTTTGCTAGTTGATCCAATACCAAATCCTCCAAACTACCATCACAAGAATTGTAAGGCAAACAGTAAAAAACATTACTGAGAACTTGGAGTGAGAGGGATGTATAAGCAGGTTTATTGCGATTGTTATTAAACCAAATGTTGCATCTTGGCATGTATGTACTAAAAGTGTGGCAGCTCTTATCACAAACAGTGGTCAAACTATAAGCATGTGATTTTCTTTGCAAAAACCAACTGATGTAAACGAGTTTGATTTCATATCAAAAGAGATTTTTTGGACCTTGTCTCAGGAAATCTTAGGTCATGCCACAACGCAAGGTTGGTCAGTTTTTAAAACTTTCAAGAACTTAAATAACTACAGTAAATCCGTAATTCTGGTTTTAATGTGGATTATTTTCCGTCATCAATAAACCCATCAGCTTAGAATAATGGTAAAGTTTCCGTACAGCCCCATACTATTGTAAAACAAATCTGTTTTCCCAATGGCAATGTATTGTTTTTGTCGTTGTTTTCTCCATTCAAGAACTGAATGCATAATGTAGTATGGGGCTGTGCGGAAATTTTACCAGAATAATACTTACCAAGGGCTGTAAATTGTGTTTCGTGAATAGTAACATATCAAGGTAAAATATTTTTTCGGAACCCATCTCCCAAAATGATCAAATTGAAAAATTAAAAAAGGTATCTGCACATATGTTTTGTAATTTAGTCCACAGCCCGTGAGCATCTTACTCCCAGGATTAAGCATAGCAAATATGCATATCAGGTATTTTATTGTTATAAACAAACTGGGTAATGACCTAGCGTGCAGAGGAGTTGATCGCTCCGTTATACTGACGCAGTAATGAATTACTCAAAACCCTCCACAAAATCACCTTCTAAGTGCTCGTCAATGCCACTAAGAGATCAAAAAATTTGGCATACACAGATAATTTCCCGATGGCGTAAATAACACCAAGGGAGTGATCGTATCTATAGAGACGAATTGTGCGCAACTGACAAGCCGCAATGCAAAATTTTGTCTGTCCTTTACTTCTGATCTTTATCCAAGACAAACTAGAAATA